TATATATGTTAATATACATACGTACATAATAATTCAATTTGATCAATCATTATAGTGATTTCATTTTCTTTATATAAATATATATCCAATTGTTTTCAGAACAATATTGATAATAATAAAATAAATATAGAAAGAATATTTTTATGATAGAACGATGACAAAATTCTAGTAATAAAACATCAACGATTATAGTTAAGATATGTCGTTGAAGAGATTTTGTTGAATTAAAATTGCAATTTCTCTAATCAATTATTCATTGTAGTATTCATTTGCAGTCTCATACATTCAAAAAAAGTAAATAGAAAAAATGTATGACGAGTAAAATGAAAAACGTGGAACTTTTACAGTATATATATATTATATTACATGCTTATCGCATATATCTGCGTTTTTTAAAAATAAAGGAATAATAATCGTTAGGAAAAAATGACAAAGGAACAAAAGTAATAAGTTCCTTCTTACGCTCTTAAGAATAGTGACTCACTCGGCCATTTAAATTAGAAATAAAAATAGATAATGTATTTTTATACAATGGAACCATTAATCTTTAAATCCTGTTTGAATTATTCATGCAACCATATACTTATATTCGAGGAGCATGTTCATATTTTGATCGATTATTACCATTTATATAGACATGCATGTGTATGCATGTATGTATATGTGTATGAATGAATGTATGCATGAATTTTGTGCATGTTTATACACATAAAAGATAAAGACGATAAGGCACAGAGTATACATATTACAATTATTATAATTATTAACCTTATTATTATGTACTATTATATATATATATTATAACTTTTATATATAATATATATATTATATTATGGTTTATGGATTATATTAAATACGAATGACAATTACATACATAGATTATAGCACAGCCTCTAGAAAATTAAGATTAAAGGCTGAAAATGTGAAAGGAACTTGCGATGCAAGGCAACCTTCGTCCGGCAAAATATAACATTATCTAGTTCTGTCAAACTCTCTTTATGCGATAGTTTCCTTGAAAGTATAGATATTTAGTTCGAGTGCAGCTAAGAGGTTTTATTTCCTTTTTCTCCCTAATGAAAGTAAAACTAAGTAGATATATGCCAGTGATTATGAAAGTGATCTAGAAATCTTGAAAAATTACATTTATCATTTACTTTTTGTTACATTCATCTACGCTATCGTGTGTAATTATAGAAAAAAAATATATGCATATTGTTTTGATCACTTTTATAATCATTGATTTATACATCGGTATGACATAGGTACATACATATATATATATATATATATATATATATTATTTACAACATAATTATCCTGTACTATTCGCGTTATTCATAAGTGTGTTTGTGTACATAAATACATTATTATTATTATTATTATTAATATTTTTAATATACAATTAAAATAACATTAATAAATAATCAATTTGTTTAAACACGAAAAACTGTTTAGGTATACATTTATGTATAATATGTCATGAATTTCATGTTCATCCTTAATTAGAATTTAAAATTGTTTAAATTGAAAGTTTTGTTCGAAGCAGGCCAATAATTTTTGTTCAATTACAATTTCTTCTTACTACTCGCGAGAAGAGTATACATATAGCTTATTTATTTGTTAATAATTTTTAATACATTATGTTATATACTTGTCGTAGGAAAAAATAAAAGAAAAGAAGGAATTTTGTCGAGTATCTACAAAATTAACGAACATTTCAAGTCAGAACTGTACAACAAATATTACACGTTAATTTTTGCTATGCATTTAAAGACATTTTGTTAGATACAAAATGTGTTATATAATATACACAACACACATACGTAAATCTTTTTCTAAATATCATATTTCTCTTGATTTATGTTTTGTTAAAAAAAATATGTCCTGCAAATTCATATATTTAGATCATATATAATAGATTTATAATTTTACTTGCGCACACATAGATATATCTTTTGTGACGTGAATTAT